ACGAATAAGGGCGCCCACTCAGAGGTGCCCAGTAGGTTACTAGGAAAATGCAAGGAGAAAAAAGCATTTGCGAGAGAAGCTAGGAAAAAAATATATAGAAAAGATTTTTGTTGCTAGAAAAAGATGTATCCTAGGGGAACTCTTACATGGCCTGGTTTCTTTCATGAAAACGATCTCGAAGTTAAACTGAGGCTAGAAAAACCTCTTAAGAAAGAGAAAAACCTGACTTTTAGGAGTTTATATCTACAAAGACTGGTAAAACAAGAAAACATAGGAAGGCTATTCCAAAAGACTTCTTTCATTAAAAAGGGGGTGGGGGGAGTCATCTGAGTGTGAGAAGTAACTGAAAGCCGACTAGAACTATATCCTACAATAGAAAGCCAGCACACGTCTGCTCTTCACTGCTCCCCAATTGTTTTATGCATCAGCTTTGCTCCTCCCGTTTGATTGAGGTTCCTCTCCAGAAAAAGTGTTTCTATTGCACGTGCCACAGAGCTTTGCCCAGCACTGGACACGGCAGGTTCTCAACTATTTGCTAATGGGTTGGCTGGAGATGTGGCATCAGAATGATGTCGTGATCAGCTAATTTTAAAAAGGTGTTCTCTAGGGGAGTATTTCTGAGTCTGCCCGATTGGCCGCCGAAAGGGCCTCATCCAGTTTCCCAGGCGACTGTCGAGAAGCAGTGATTTCACACGGTGGGGGTGGGTGACCTTGCCGATGCGTCTCCACATGAGGTCATGTGGGAAGGCTGAATTTGAAAATTCCTTTTAGATTGCTCATGCGTGCAACCCGAGTATACGACTAACTGGGGAAAAATGCACCACGAGGGTGACACGCCGTCAGGGTCCCTTTAGTTAGTGTAATAAAACCCACGGTGGAAGGAAGGCAAACTGTAAGACTAGAGTCTATTCTACACTGAAACACTGGACTGTGGGGCGAACGGGTGAGCCGGGCTTTGACTGGAACAAGGCAAGTGGCCACCCCGGTAGCATGTCCGTGGCGCTGGTGGCCAACCGGTAGCATGTCCGTGGGGCTCGTGGCCACCCCGGTAGCATGTCCGTGGGGCTGGCGACCACCCCGGTAGCATTCTGATGCCACAGCCATCGTGGGGCTGGCGGCCACGGAGGCGCCTGCTCACCAGCCCCTAACGCGACGCGCGGGGCTCTTCAGCTGGGAGGGGCGTCGAGGGCACAGGCGGGGGAGGAGCCAGCCGGAGGGGCTGTGCGACCCTCAGAGGAATTGGTTCCAGGGCCGGTCCCAGCCCAGACCTGCGAGAGGACAAAGGTGACCACGGAAGGTGTCTTGCGGGGTGCAGGGAGACCCCAATCTCGAGGTCACATCGTTGCAG